GCTCTCCTTGAAGGCCTGAACAGCGGCCGGATCGGCCTCCTCAGCTTTACTCCTCACCTCCTCCATTACGCGGTGCGCAACCTCAACATCGCTCAACCTCTTCTGAAGCGTCTCGCCCTTCTGCGCAGCCAGTCCCAGCCTCTTCTCCAGATCTGCAATTTGCTCCTTGAGGCCTGCTATCAGGGACTGGGCGTCATCCTGCCCCTCATCTAGGCGGCGGGATCCTGAGGAAGCCAAGACGAAGGCCCGAAGATTACAAAACCAAGATTATGAGCAAGGACAAGTCAGAGGAAGACAAACAACAGTAAAAGATTGTGAGGCAAACCTCAGAGAGAGAGAGCCGATGGCGCGCCGGATGCCTGTTCGGGGGGACAAACCCCGGATCTCCTCCTTATCAAGGGGAAGAGTCACAGTCAGGCCAAGCGCTACCGGGTTCACAGTACGGCGGAACAGAGAGGCGGAACTAGATTTCATGAAAAGGCGGACAGAATGAACAGGTGCCGGAGTTTCCTCCTGACTGCCACCTCCTTGGGACTCGGCATCCGAGCTCGAGTCCACATCGACAACATCTTCGGAAGATTTGAGGGCAGCTTTTCCTTTCTTCTTGAGCCCGGAGATAGGCCGAAGTGCCAACCTCTTCCCAACCCTCTTATCAATGGGGGACTGAGGGTCAATGGCCGACGTGTTCAGGAGCCCACCACTATCTCCGGGGGTGGCCCCCCTGACTTCTCCGAGGTCACCCCAACGCTCCCTCGGGTCTGAATTTTCCTAACAGGGACTAGGGAACCAGGGGTGGCACCAGCCTTCACCGCAAGCCGTTCCAACCGGGAGGCCATCTTTTCACCCTCTGAAATCAAACATAGGTCAAGTCAGAAAAAAGGATACAAAAAAAGAGACAAAAGAAGAACAAGCAAAATATGAACGCCAACTCAGACAGAACCGATCTGACAGAAAGGTAAGAATAACCACTCCGTCCTCACCTACGTAATGGCCCATCAAGAATGGTGCACCATCAGCGATCAGCTTAGCGGCATCGTTATTGCCCTCTAACAGAAAAGGCATGGCCCATTTCCGAATTACCTCCCCCCACTTGTTTTCAAACTACAACCTTCCATCCACAGGGGTGACTCACACCCATTTCTACCTCCAACCATTGAAAGAGTCGGGATAAGACTTGGCCTCGAATATATGATGACCAGCCCGTTGGGAGATTGAGAGGTATCTTGGGGACTCAGAAACGCCAGGTCGTACAGAATGGAAGAAGTGAAGGAAGATGTCAATGAAAGGGCGAATACCTAGGTGCAAGCATCGGGCAAGGAACCCGGCTATGAACATGTGGGTGGGTGGGGAAAATTGGCCAGGGATCACGCCATAGTAACCCATGACGCTCAGGACAGCAGAATGAAGGGGGAATCGGAGACTAGCTATATGAACTCCAAAGTGAAGGGGGGAAGGAGAATCAACAATATTCTTCCCAGGGGTGGGGCGGGAGCAGACAACGCTTGGGCCTGCTAGGACCACGGCTTTGCCGAATTTGGCATCGGACAGAGCCACGGCCGGAACCTGCCGGGCATGCTCGCAAGAGAGGAAGAAGTGAGTCTCCCTCCCATCCGGATCTACCGGAATACGGGGACGTTCAAAAGAGGCCCCTGCCTCAGGAAAGACATGGTGCAGTGGGACGGAACTTGAAGAAGACATCAGGGGAACTAACCTGATGAAGCTTGAAGATGAGGAAAAGAATCGCACGGTTCAGAGCTCCCAACCAAAAAATCGAATGCCAAAGCGGGAGGAAAGTTGCGAAAAGACGCAGTGAAAGACGATGAGCGCTTAAATAGACGAAAATTAGGGCTTGGGAACGGTTTCAAAACCACTTGGGAACCGCAATGGTGACACTTGGATATTGGAGATGGTAAGTCGGCTCAGGAACTGAACCGAATGGCAGGCCTATGTCAAGTCGGGCGCATTTAATGCAAATGATGCGACAATCCTCCTCAAAAGATTCCAAATTTGAAATTAGTCATTCTGAATACTCTTCCAAAAATCCAGCCTCACTTATTTTGGAGAGTAGGGGGCTCGTGATGGTACCATGGAACCCGACCATGGCCCAATTGCGTGAGTCCAGTCCATAAATGAGATTAACCTTTGACGGGATTAATGGTAGATAACCACTGGGCCTAACTAGGGACCAAGCTCGCGAGAAGAACCCACAACAAGGCCAGACTGGAAAGCATGCCTCGAGCCTGGGCGGAGTTCTAGTGAGGCTTGGACGTTCCTAGGGCTGACGTGGCACGCTATCAATGGAAACGGCAGATGGCAGAGTTTAAACGGCTGGAAAGGAACAATCATTGCACAACGGCCGAGGCGTTACAAGAGTCTTATTCGAGCTAGTGCATCATTAATAGCATTTATTGTACCAATCTCCTATTGTAACACTAGTTCCTTAGCCTATAAATACAACTTGTAAACCCCCAAAAAGGGAGAGTCTCTCGATCAATAAAAACAATGCCTTACGCTGCCAAATTATAATCTGCTTCCGTAGATTTAGCTCTTGTTGTTGGATTAAACTCCATCAGTTAGTAACAAACATTTTCTTATCTATAATGGTACATTTTTTTTAATCAGACATTTCTTGATTGTAAAATTACATTTTCTCCCAACAAATATTTTTTTATTTATTGGTTAACTAGCTTAGGAGATAAACGTTTTTTGTTATCTATGTATGGAGGATTTGAAAACATGTACAACATGTGTATAAATTTATGAAGGATTTTAAATTTTACAACGCACACACATGACCATCCATAAAGTGGAAGCAAAACAAGACCCAAACAATATGTTTATCAAATTTCCAAATAGGTGGGTTTAGATAATGTTTTAGGCACTGATAAAATTATATCAAGTTTTCTCTTAAATTATATAACCCTCACTTACAGGGCTAACATTTTAACCAAGAAACTGAAAGTCAAACTGAAAGAAATGGAATCATACTGGAAAAATAGTGTTTAAAATGATTCTTAGACTTAAAAAAATCAGTTTGAACCGTATAGAACCAACATTTTATTAGGTAATAATTATTTTAATTATTTTCGGAGCTATTGTAATATTAGAAAATATCTTGCAAAGACATTAACTACTCTTACATTTCCAACAACAACAAATTTCAAAACTTTTAAAAACCACACATATTATATGCACTTACTTTATAAAAGAAGGTATTGACAAGATTCATGATAATAGTAAAATAAGAGTAACAATAATAGTAGTAATACTAATAATAAAAGTAATAAGAAGGTTTCCTAAAATATTACTCCGTACTACATACTAAAATAAAAATTATGGATAAATTCATGGTAACTACGATGTAAGAATTGAATTAAATAGTTAAATACATTAATTAAAAGTGACTATATATCACATTTTTATTTTTTTCATTTATCCTCATTTTGGTCATATATTAGATATTGTTTCTAATAACAAAAACAACAATACTAATACAAGCGTAGCAGTAATTAAAGATTGTAATATAATACTACTGATGGCTAGTTTAATTATATTGAAGAATAAAAATATAATAATTATGCAATACTATATATAGTATTATAGTATTATATACTACTATCACACGAGTTTGATATTTTTGTTTTAATTTATAGTTTCAAAAATTAGAATTGAAAAACGAATGAATTTATAAGAATAATGTTAATAATAATAACAATAAGAATAAGAACAAGAATGATAGGAATAATACAGAGTAACCCCCGACCTCCTGTGCTTGAATCGGGCGGGACAAAAAAAATAACATGCGAAGTCCCAACATGTATTAAGCGTTTCCTTGGTTCGCCCATGTTTGATTTCTCTATTGTGAAATATAATTGGCCCCCAATTACAATTGGTTCAATACTAGTTTATGGAATTCTATAAACTGCAATGTGAGTTAGCTTTGTGTTTTTCACATTTCTATTTGGTAAGGAAGCTAGCTGGTTGTCCCTACTTTATTTTAAAAGGTCAACTTGATAGGAGTAGAAGCTCACATTTTAATATAGCATTTCATTGTTTAAGACATATCTGGTGTGGGACAACAACACTCTTCCTTACGATCAGACACTTCGTCTGGATCGTGCCATCATTCATTTTTTTCTTCGATTCGTCATTGTCATTTTTTAATTGTGTCATCATTTTTCTTAGAAGGTCACACTATGGATCAATCTGGATTTGATACCATGTTAAGACCTGATGTTCCATCCTAAAAGTTCAACTTGATAGGATGAGTAACCCACATCTTAATATAGCATTTAATTGTATAACATATATCTCGTGTGGGACAACAACAACATGACCAAGTTTTACCGACACGGTGAATAATAAAGTAAAAATTATGTGGTTGATGTTTTTTCAGAGGATATAGAAATAATTGCAATCACCAATTAATTTATTAAAAAGGAAAGTTATAAAGTTTTTGGGACAAAAAAAAGGAAAGATTTCAAAGTTATAAGGGACAGAGAGATCGGAGTATTAGCTAGATCGTTAAGTTGACGAACATTAGTCATTTGGGTCTAATAATACATGGATAGTTGGATGTGTACAAGTTGCCAATACATATATGTGTATGCAACTAATTTCTTTTACACACAATATAATTGGAATTAAAAGCGATTGCAACGACATTAAAGACATACTACCTTCGTCCCTTAAAACTTTGGCAACTTTCCTTTTTTGGATGTCCCATTAACTTTGCCACTTTCCATTTTAAGTAAAGAATTTATGGCTACAATCAATTCTCTCCTCTGCACAAACATCTACCACATAGTTTTTACTTTATTAATCCTCGTGCCAGTCAAACTTGACGAAGTTTTAAGGAACATTGAAAGGAGAGCACAATGATTGGTGAGATATAGACTGAAGTAAACTTTCATGGATGACATTTAGGCGACAACATCAGTATAGTTGCGCATACTCGAGCAAAACGTTTAAATTGTATTTTAACTATTGATATTATTGCATTTTGATACTTTTATTTTAAAATGAAATAAATGAATATCATAATTATAATGTTTCAACCATATTAATATTCAAATTTCCGGCCAAAAAACCTACGTGAGCACTGAAATTCCATATGTAGAGTACACCGTACAGAGGGGCGGAGGGAGGGGGTGGCCTGGCTGGGCCCCCAAGGCAATTTTTTTTTATTTTTTAAGGGGAATTCTATTTGCAGTCACTCTTTTACTAAATACAGCCCCATATATCTTCAAATGTCTAAATTATCCTTGCAACGGTGCAACCACAAACTTAATCTTCATTGAACTTGGCCGGATACAAATGATCCTTCCAGATCTGAAAAACTGGTCCAGTTGCTCGGTCAAGTCACACGGAGCTTAGGACCGACGCTCAACGGACGAGTTCTGCTACCTCCGTCGCAGCGCCGCCCAGTCCCCGGTTGCTCTGCCACCGCTCCGGTCGCCATCGCAGTTGAGGGAAAGCCTAGTCCTTGATTACAACCTCTGTAATTCTTGGTTCAGTTCTTGGAGCTCAACCTCGAAGGTCCGCCATTAATGGCCACTCAAAGCTCTGGGAAGGACAAACTACCCCAAACCCATTGTCGGTTTCACGGACGGAAGTCTATGCCCTATACAATACCTGTCTCCCAGCAACTTTGGTCCTTCTTGGTCCCAGCGATGTCAACTCCCGGTCCTTCTTGAACATTTGATTCAACTTAAACTTATATGGTTGATTCTTCTTCTTTTGTGCTTGTGTCCGTTGAGTCTCTTCAAGTTCCACCGCAGGTGTCTTCTGACGGTCTTGAACTTGATGCGGAGTTTCAGCCTATTGATTTCAGTGGGTAGCTAGAGCCTAGAGAGAAGATGACCTTGAAAAGAAGTAGAGGAATGAAATTAAGCAGACTTGAGTCGACACTATGAAAGAAGCGGAGGATGAAGTTAAGGGTATACTTGGATTTATCAAAAAAATGTGATTGTATTTAGTAAAACGGTGACTGTAAATAGAATTTCCCTTATTTTAATTATACACGACATTTAAATTTGTTTTTATTAATTGGCCCAGGTAAAATTAAAACTGGCTCAGGATAAAAATTTACGGCCCAAAAAAAAACAGTCCAACTCCTAAGCAACAGTCCGGGAGGCAAACAGCATTAGTAATCGTCGATTCGCCTGACTCTCGCCTTCTCTTCGCCGACTAGCCGGAGACGCACGTCACGCACCCTGCTTTTCCTCACTAATCGCCGATTCGCCGACTCGCCTTCTTCACGCAAACGGCATCAGTAAATCAGTAATAGCCTTCTGCTTTTCCTCTCTTCAAGGTCGCTGGTCCTGCTTCAGCCTTCAAGGAGAGCCGCAGCCCGCAGAGCCACGGCAGAGGTAAGGGTTTCTTACTTTCTTACTTTCTTTATTATTTGTTTTTACAATTTTTAGATTAATTAGGTATTTTATTTGTTAAATTAGTTTGTGTTAGTGATAAGTGTGTCACAATTAATTTGTGTAATTGTGTTCTTTGAATTGTGAAATAGAAAATTAGGAATGTGTAATGTTATTTGTGAATTTTTAAAAATATTAATATGAATTATATGAATTAAAATAAAGTATTGATTAATATTTTATTTTTTTGGTAATTTTAGTAGATATGACTACCCAATCTACTTCCAAAAAGGAAAAAATCACACTGTGTTCGCTTTATAAGCCTAGTACAAGCACACAAAGTAGACAACAAAATCGACGTTGAGTCTGTCATACATCATACATGAGTTTGCAAAGGTCAAAGAGTGTCATGTTCAGTTAAAGTTTTAGTTTCAAACATTGTATGTATTGTTTAAAAATATTACTATGAATTTTAATGGATTTTAATCATTATGTTCACACTATTGTCGCTTTTAAAATTTATAATGTTTTTAGAATTTTAGTGTATAGTTGGCCCAGGGTAAACATCCGTCCTGGCTATGCCCCTGCGTACAGTGGTGACATGATAAATCTAATGTAAATTAAAGTGGACTCTATACATATGGAATTACGGCCACCATGCAAAGATATTGATCATTTTTATCATGGAATAATAAGTATGGCTATGTAAGCATAAGTATATGGGTTTGTGTGATGGTTTTCTTTAAAAGAGCTAATTTGATCTTTTTAGATAATCCCATTCAGCAATAATAATTCTATAATATTGTAAAAAAGATTGTAGAAAAAAATCACTTGACTCACCGGCTCACAAAGAGAACTTCTGCCATTGGGAGCTAGCGCATGTGTTTTTAATGTATTAAAGAATAAGTTTAATACATAAGGTACACATAATATACATTTTCTTCTGAAAATGCATAAGTTTATGAAAAGAAACATACATAAATTAACACCAACACAATCAGTAAAGTGGAAGGTGAACATGTAAGATTGCCCTAATCCGAGGGAGTAAGTGAACAAGTTTATAGTAAAATATAAACTAAAAAACTTAATTAGAGTTTTTGAGAAGACTCATTCAGAACATAAACAAATGGGTTATGCAATATTGCAATGTCATCGCTACAGAAGTAATTACACAAATATATAGAGGAAAATTAATTTAAATACAAATAATAGTAATAATGTTGATTATTATATTTATCTCCAAGAGTTTCTTTAATATTTAAGACCAAAAAGTAACTTAGGTGATTTAGAACATAGAAACTAGTAACAAAAAACTTCATGCAATGTACGAATTAAATAAGGATGTATGTACATGCATGTGTGTATCCAGGTCCGGTTCTGGAAGGGGGCAGGGGCACATGCCCAGGGCCCATCTTTAGTATGGGGCCCATTATTATTATATGTTAATATATATATATATATATTAATATTAATAATTTAATAAATAATTACTCCAGCTCCAAGTCGGCAGCTATGGTGGTGTTTGGATAGCAGCGGATTAACCAAACCGCCATTGTTTTAATGAAGGAAAACGCTGGTATTTCCAGCGGATTGGCTACAAACCGCTGATAAACAAACAACCCCATAATCGCTTGAATAGAGAGGGTTTTGCACTTCTGCGATTTTGGCCGACAGTGAGAAGCAGGGAAGGCCAATCGATTTCGCATCTGACATCTCCAGTCCGTTCACCTCGCATAATCGGGAATTGAGAGAAATCAATTAGCATCTCGATAATCCGAAAAGTTTAACACCACCGGTTATATTCTCTTAATCTCTTCTTTTATATTGTTCTGATTTGTACTCCGATATTCAATTATCTCTTCCGACTCATCTCTCAAATTCTCTTCTCTTCTATTGCAGTATTGCCGCCTCAAACACTTTGACTTGTGGATTGATTCTTCTGTCTTCATCTACCTTATACTAAATCTGTGAAGCCTTTTGCAATTGCAGATTTGCAGACGGCAGACGGGTAATAGATTTTGAGGTTCTACTATTCTTGTTCTATCATTGATGAATTTTGATTACAATTTGTCAATAACTAGTTTCAAAGCTAATTGTATTGCAGGTTGTTGACTTGTACCTCATGGATTACAAATTGCTGGCTGCCTAAGATCTAAGTGCCTGGCTTCAGAATTACTTGAGGTTTTTTCTTCAGATTCCCTATTTCTTTATAGCTAAATAGCTAATAGTCATGCACGGTAAAAGAGCTTCAATCTTCATCTAAGATGTTTCCAAAAAAACATTTGTCTGGTAGTGAAAAAGAGGAAAAAAGAAAACTAGTTGATGAGCTAATAAATTCTCAAAAAGGAGCTATGGATAGATTTGTTAAAATAGCAAGTTCCTCTAATGAGAATAAGGGTGATTTGAGTGAAAATAATATTGAAAATGTTACTGAGCCTAATGAAAATTATGAGGGAAATCAGGGAGTTGACAATACACAAAACATTTCAAACCATGACCTAAATAATGAAGATATTAGTGATATTCAAAATTCAAGTGACCAAAATCAGAATATGGGAAATGTTTTGGAAGATGAACAACCAATTCCATTTTTGGATATTTATGATCCCGCTAATTGGGACAATCTTTAAAATAAAGTAAGAGACCTTTTGGTTGAGAAAGGACCTATTAGAGAATTAAATCTTGAGTTTCCTTGTGATAAAGCATCTAGACATTTTGCATATAGCTATTATACTAGAAAGCTATGTAACGGGGAGAAGAGTGATAGAAAATGGCTGATTTATTTGAAAAAGCTAGATAAAGTATATTGTTTTTGTTGCAAGTTATTTAGAGCTAAGTCCAATCCAAGCAAAAGTGCATTAGCTATTGATGGCCATGATGGGTATAATGATTGGAAACATTTAGGTGTGAGGCTAAAAGAGCATGAAAACTGTCTTGAGCATATGAATAATATGAAATCTTGGACTGAATTAAGAGTTAGATTCAATACAAATCAAACCATTGATAAAGATTTACAACAGCAAATTTTAAAAGAAAAAGAAAGCTGGAGGAATGTTTAAATAAGAATAATTGCTGTTGTGAAATGTCTTGCTAAATATTGTTTGCCTTTTTGTGGATCCAATGAAAAACTCTACCAAGATAGTAATGGATTTTTTTTGGGATTAATTGAGATGATTGGTGAATTTGATGTTATAATGCAAGATCACATTAGGCGCATTCAGAATCATGAAATTCACTACAACTATCTTGGTAAAAAAATTCAAAATGAATTGATTTCTCTCTTAGCTCATAGTGTTAAAAACTCTATCATAAGGATTATCAAAGATGCTAAATATTTTTCAGTAATTCTTGTCTGTACCCCTGATATGAGCCATCAAGAGCAAATGAGTTTAGTGATACGATGTGTGAATGTTACTGGTGATAAAATTAAAATTGAAGAATTTTTCTTGGAATTTTTGAAAGTAGATGATACATCTAGTTTGGGCCTTTTTAATGAGTTACTAAATGTACTTGAATGTTTTGGTCTTAATTTTGATGATGTGAGGGGTCAGGGTTATGATAATGGTTCAAATATGAAAGGGAAGCATCAAGGGGTTTAAAATCGGTTACTCAAAATAAATCCTAGAACTTTATATATGCCTTGTGCTTGTCATAGTCTAAATCTTGCTTTTAGTGATATGGCTCATTCTTGTGTTAAAGCTGTTTCATTTTTTGGAATTGTTCAACGCATATATACTCTATTTTCAAGTTCTACCAAAAGATGGAAGATTTTACTTGATATTGTCTCAAATCTAACTGTAAAATCCTTGTGTAATACACGTTGGGAGAGTAGAATAAAAAGTATCAAAGCTATTAGATTTCAAGCTCCGCAAATAAGACAAGCTTTGTTAGAATTATCTGAATCGTGTGATGATGCCAAGACCAAAATTATATATATACCTCGAGAGCCAATGTATTTTTCTTAAGTTAGAAAACAAGACAAAGATAGAAACACGTACCAGACGAAGATGAGCATCACATCATCACATGGTCAGACAATGTTGCCGTCTTCTCCATTTTCATGTCCCTCACATTGGTTATTTCCTTAATGCCCCAAAACGGTAATTCTGAGCAAACCAGCAGTCTGTCGGCTAGCCTTGCGCCGCTGGCCGGTGAACACAAAAGCCAACATCAGTGGTACATTGACTCTCTGCCCAAAAACGTGACAGAGTTTCTGCACAACTGCACAGACCACATGGTGCTGGAATGTGCGGATGAAGTAATCAATGCAATATTGTTGATGGGCTCCATTTCCGATGCTTGTTGCACCGATCTGGTGAGCATGGGTGTCGAGTGCCACACTTCATTGGTTAAACTCTTTGTCAACTCGCCTCTTCAAAAGGCCAATGCTCCCACTATCATCGCTAATAGTCAACGAATCTTCGACGACTGTACCATAGTAGACAGGAAGCGTCGCTATGGGAACACACAATAAAAAAAGTCAATATGAAAACTACAAATCTTTCTTACAGCCTGAAAGTGTTCAATCCGGGGAGGGAACACCCTAAAATGAGAAGTTAAGAGTAGTATGTATCATCTTTTACGTTTTAAGCCAATGATGTAAGCTTTAAACATTTTATGTATGTTATGAATTTTATACTCCATGAAGGTATTTTTAACAAAGAACATTTTTACTACGTATATTATAAATAATAAATAATATGGAGTTCCTAGTAAAGTATAAAACTGATCAAAATTTAAATTGGTGAATACAAAAATTCACAACATTGCAAAGTTTTAAGTGACGCACCAATATCTTATATAACGTCTAAAACATTACTTCCGCTGTCAAAAGGCAATCCCACTATAGCATTTCTTACTCCGTGACAAAAACATTCACCTTTTTATCGAATTTATCATTAGATATCGTATATCAATTTGTACCTTGATATATCACGATAGTACTGCGCAATAGTGCGCATGTTATATTCATTAATTATTATGTAACCAAATTAATTAATATGAAATGTACACTGATGCCGGCACACAATGTACTCCATCTATCATGAAATGACTCTAAATATTGGACTTCAATCCTAATTCTTTAAATATAACATTTTGGTATTAAAACTTGACTCCCTCCTTGTGTCGGTTTAAGGTTAGTACATTGCAGTCAACATAATTTCCTTCAATATCCATTTTATATTTTACAATTTCTTTTAAAATTCAAAAATTGTTTTTGAAATTGAATAGAACTTCAAACGTAGTTTGTAAATATGTAAATTTTAAGTATTAATACTAATAGATACTCTAAACTACTATGGATGAAAAATTAATTTTACGTGAATCCATCATTGTAAATCGCACATAAACCATAAAATGGAGTATTAACTTGATACCGGGAGACAATCATGAACCAAGCCATTTGTATCAACTTGAACTATTGACATAATAATCTAACAAATTATAATATAAAATTGTAAATATTTATATGATATATTGTTTGCGAGAATTTGACTTTGTAACGATTAAAAATTGTTACAGGATTATTGTTTATACATCTTCCTATACATTTGCTACATTTGTGGATATTTGTGGGAGGAGTAATTATAAATATACATTTGCTACATTTGTTATTGTTGAAGAGTTTTTCATGTTTACAATATTTTGAACATTTTATACTTGTATTAAGGATGTTTATGTTTCCTTCTATCTTTGAAGAGCGATTCAATTTTAAGAAAACACATTTTAAAAAACAAAAACATGGTATGTTAACTGGACAATTTTTTTGTGTAATACAAAAATGAAAGTCTAGTTCAAATAAAATTTCACCATATTCTCAAGGTATCGTACATTACTTATGTGGATGAATTAGAATTGAAAATTTTAAATATTAATAAGATTTTAAATTATTTAATAGATTATGAGATAAATTTTAAATATTAATAAATTATGAGATAATAAGTACTCTATCCGTCTCTTAAAATTTTGAATATGAATTTGGATTAATTCTGGCAAGGTTTAAGTGAAGGAGAGACTATTATCCATTCATCTTTGGTGCAAAAAACGCTTTGTACGGTGTTAGCCGCCTCGAAATGCCTAGAGCGACGGTGAAACACACGCTCTGTCACGATTCCGTCAGTGCGAAGACAAGAGAAGTTTTGAAGACACAAGTTTCCCCTTTTCTCGATAACATGAGATATGGCTATGGAGTTTAAAGAGGAGCACGAAGAGGCATATGCAGGAGACTTGACTAATCTTGTTTGTCGAATGAAAGGGAGTTGGTGTGTATTTTGTTGATTTTTTGTATTGTTGGTGAGTATCTTGAAGATCATGTTGGCATCATCCAGAAATTCGTATCGTGAATGTTCAAAATCCATGGTATACATCTCCAAAATTTGCAGGTAAATTTCTCATTTTTGTCCAAAATCACTTCTTTTTCAGCATTCTAGTACCCAAGGTCTCGCTTAGTACAGAGCCCGCTCTATTACATTTTTACCTCTCTGATTAACCCCAGTTTAGAATACTTGACTTTTTGATGATTTTAATTATGCAGGAGCTCTCTCCTCTGCTCTACCATTTTGGCGGACGGTGATCTTACTTTATTGTCACAAGAAAGAAAAACATTATTTGCCAGTTCAATCAGTCCTGTGCAGGAATGGACGCGGAGATTCTTCTATGAGTGCTCTCCCGTCAACACATTGTTATTTCAAAGATCGTTTGCTTCTCATCAGAAGCGACGGTCAGATGCTATACGAAGTGATGTTTCAATTGAGCTGAAGGCTGATAGAGATGTGGTGAGATTTTCAGTTGGTCAAGAGATGCAGAAGGATGGTTCACTAAGAAAAGCTAAGAAAGGGGCCAGGAAGATTAAAGTGTCTAAAAGGGCTAAAGTGAATGAACTTAGGTTTTATAGGTTGAAGGCAAGGAAAAAAATGAAATCACCAAATCCTGAAGTTAGAATCAGATACAAGCTCGATAAGGTCAGTGGCAGTTGATCTTATAGACATTCCAGTAAACGGAACAAAGGTCTTGTTTTGGAAGCTGCATTTTTTTTTAAATTGTCTCATGTTTGGGAACATTTTGCTAATATGAGAACAATATGTTTTCATAAGTTTAAACTGTTTTTTGAGGAGTTAAAGAATTGTTGATCATGCTTATTTTTTAATTTAAGCAATTATTATTGTCACATTCAAACAAATTTAATAATTTTCAAACATTTGAATTAGAGTCGACTATAACATACAATCAAAAAGCTAATCCAAACAAATATTTTCATCCATCCCAAGGCACTTGGTTTAAAAAAGCGCGTCTGAGGCGCGAGGCGCCCTAAGGCGATCACTTTATCGCATCTTCCACCCCCAGGCGGCATAGGTTCCAAGAGGCGCGCCTTATATGGCGCTTTTTGACGCCTTTTGCGCCTCTAAGAGGCGCGCGCTTCTCACGCATCATGGATGTCTCTTTTGGCGATTGAGTCTCTAGTCTTCTCCCTTCTTCCTTCTGCGTTTGGTTTGCTTCCGAGTTCCCACATCTGCGGTCCTGTTTCTTGTTCGCGTAGCAAGACTCGCAAGTCTGTTTCTTCCGCTACTTTCTCGCGTCACAGAGCAGTCGCAGGTAAGTATTTATTTCTTCTCTTCTACAGTTTGTTCTCTTATACGTGTGATAGTTTACTAATTAAGTATGTTTTATTTTATATTTTATTACCTTGAAATTGTAGTCTTACTACCTCTGTTGGTCTGTTCTAGATCATGCTGAGTAGGGTACCTAAATATTTGATTTTATTTAACAAATATATAAGACAGATTTTATTAATAACAATTTTTTATATAACATCTTATTAATTATGTTTTGAAATTTTAAGATTGAGTTTTCTGACTTGACTCTTGCCAATGATGCCGTTTGATATTTATTTCTTGCTATTGTCTTAATAAATATTTGATTTGTCTTATGATGTATGTTAAGATTGTTTAATAGTTTGAAGTATTTTTGTGATGTTGTCATTTTTTGAGATGAGTGCTTCATGTAGAAGACTAGAAATAGTATACTATATATCTTACCAAAGATATGATGTTAAGATCCGTGAGGCGCGCGCCTCGTCGCCTAGCGCCTCGTGCCTCGGGTAAATCAATGAAAACACCTCGTGCCGCCTCGCGCCTTTTAAAACTAAGCCAAGGCATATTGTTATTATGGTGGCTATTATGCCTTTTGATTTTGTTTCTGTGGCATCACTGACTATTTGTGAATCATATATTAGGCTAAACGGAAAGAGGTTTGGTTGATCGAGAAGCTGAGAAAATTTGAGCTTCCTAAAGCTCCAACTGAACCACAGGATCCAGAAATTTTGACCGAGGAAGACCGCTTTTACCTGAAACGCACTGGTGAGAAAAAGAAAAATTATGTTCCCGTTGGAAGAAGGGGAGTGTTTGGGGGTGTAGTTTTAAATATGCATCTTCACTGGAAAAATCATGAGACAGTAAAAGTTGTATGCAAGCCTTGCAAGCCAGGGCAAGTTCATGAATACGCTGCTGAACTGGAACGTTTGAGCGGAGGCATTGTTATTGACATTAAACCTGATAATACAATAATATTTTATCGGGGAAAGAATTATGCCCGACCAGATGTTTTGTCCCCTCCAGACACCCTATCCAAAGCAAAGGTAATGCTGGGTTCTCATTTCATTTTCTGAAAAGTTAAACTAATTTTAAAATCTTTTCTAACAATTCAGTTGACTGAACTCCAAATGTCATCGCGTACAGGCATTGGAAAAGTACAAGCTGGGGCAATCACTAGATCACACAAGTCAATTTATTGAGAAATTAGAAAAAGAACTGGAAGACTACCATGAATACCTTGGTCAGAAGAAGGAAAGAGATGCTTTGATGAGTTTGAATGTGAATGTGTTACCGACTGAAGCATGTGAACTGAAGCTCCAATGATCATGTTGATGATGAACATGAAGCGCTTCGTTAACTTTTATATAGTTGCATATATGCCTTTATGAAGCCATTACATCACTGCCGCAGCTGAATCAGCTAATAATGAAAAGGTGTCACACAAGAGGTAGTTATTTGGCTTAAACGGCTAAAATGAAAGAGTGACATTTCAACGTTCTATTTGTATATTGTTTTCTTGAATTGATTAAAGAAATATTCAATAATTTTAATGTAAGAAAATTAGGCCATTTGAGCCCCAACTTTCACACAGTCAATCACCTAAACTATTGTAAGCCTTGTAAAACAGCCTATCGCTTGACTAAAGAACTGTAAAAATATTCAAATTTTTGTTAAGCTTTTTTAAGGTATTCATAATACTTTCATAACTTGCATGTCATTTGATTATAATATAAAATAAAGTGTAGATATTCGCATCTTTAAAAAAAATCAATAACAATGACTTCAAAATTACCCCTGAATGCCAAAATATTTTTAGGTTTTGACATAGATGTGCGGTAGTTAGGATGTTTTTATTTGGACTGTAATTCCTCCCAGATCAGTTCAGACCAGACCAGATTTGGATAGTTATAAAAATACAAAGAAAGTAGACCAGATCAGTTCATACTAGACCAGACCATCAAATTATAGTCCAAGTAATAACATCCTTATTCATTGAAATTACTAACCGATTGGTTCAGCTTGGTGTAGCATTATTCGAATTTAGGAACATGAATTATGGTACGGGGTGGTATTTTACAATTTTCGAATTGAAAGGTTTGGAGGAGAGAAAATATCCAAAGACTATTGTGAGAATATGAGAGGAGAAAGGTTTAAACAGACAATGAAGACAGAGGGCGCCGATGAGCGTACCCTCCTCGTCCTCTTCCAGGGGGTTCTCCGCAGCAGTCCCTACGCGCGGAGCCTCATCACCGACCCCCCAAGATCGTACCTCAAAGCACTGCAGCGGGGGAGCCTATACGCCGACGCCGATGACCTCCACTCCTTCAAAAGGGACGGAGGCCAGCCATCAAAGAAGACAAACAACACGTCGGCCCCGAATCCACCCTCGGCCGGGGGCCGAGGCCATGTAAGCCACACCCAACAGGGCCGGAACGACCGCCAATGGCGCCCTCGGCTGGACATACCGAGGACTCCCCTCACACAATCGGTGAGCACGATCATTCACTATGCGGAGGAGCACGACCTTTTCCCCAAGGACCCTCGGTCGGCGAGATAAATCTACGTCGTCCACCAGGGCGGCACTTATTGCCGTTACCACAGAAGCACCTCCCACGATACTGACGATTGTGTCTCGCTAAAGAAAGCCATTGAGCTCTTGATTCAACGGGGTGAGCTCCACCAGTTCATAAAAAATGCTCCAAGGAAAAACGCCGGGGAGAACACCGATAAGAAAGAAGGGGACACCTCAGCGAAGAAACGTGAAATTGGGAGGTTCAGTGATGACGAGGAATTCGAGGAGCCCCAGCCAAAGAAGCACCACCTCCACTGAATCATGTTCTTCGCCCTCGGCCTCGATCTCAGCCTCGAGGCACGCTATCATCCCCTCGGCCTAGATCCCTCGGCCTCAAGCCACTTATCTTAACAAACCCGTTGTCAAAACAACGCACCCCTTGTATTCCGTTTATTTCTATGAATTTAAGTAAACTACCACATAACCCAGACATCTTATTGGCCCCTTCGAGGCCAAATGCCCAGGTATGGCCGATGATGTCTAAAGACGAGGGGCCTGCAAAAGGCCCGCGCTTTTGGAGTGGGACGCTCACCACGTCGCCGGCGCGCAACGCATGACGACAGGCCTGAAAGAATGTTTGAGGTGACAAAATCCCCACCATTGGGGCTGGGAAACGGCAGTCATCGATAACAGACCAAGCCTAGCCCACGCCGTAAATAGACGACAGGACCCCCCAAGGTCAAGGGACGGCCCAACGCTGGGGGACTAACAAACGAACCCCTAGACGGATCACTTGGACCCCCTTCCGGCCGAGGCGGGGAAGCAACCCCCTCAGCCGAAGCCTGAAAGAAGAAACACTCACCAGGAGGACTAACATACGACCTCCTGGAACAATCAAGGGACGGCCCAGCACAGAGGGACTAACAAACGAACTCCCGGACGGATCACTTGGACCCTCTTCCGGCCGGGGCGGGGAAGCCACCCCCTCAGCCGAAGCCTGAAAGAAGGGACACTCACTAGGAGGACTAACATACGACCTCCTGGAATAATCAAGGGACGACCCAGCGCCGGGGGACTAATAGACGAACCCCCGGACGGATCACTTGGACCCCCTTCTGACCGAGGCGGGGCAACAATTCACTCGGTCGAAACCCGAAGGAAGGAAACGGCTCCTGGATATAATCCATAAAGGACGAGCGTCCTCCATGCCTTGCTCAAGAGGAAACGGCTTCCTCAACACGAGCCTTCATCTATAGACGAACCTTCCCACAACAGTCGGACAAACGTCTTTAGGGTCAACAGTAGGATTCCACATCTGAAGCTGAGATCCTCCAAATCCACAAGACGAACGTCCCTCGCCTTAACGTGACTCTACATCTCAACGGCCCTCAGCCTCAGCGTGATTCCACTTCATAACGGCCATCAGCCTCAGCGTGACTCTACTTCACAACGGCCCTCAGCCTCAGCGTGATTCCACATCACAACGGCCCTCGGCCTCAACGTGACTCTACATCACAATGGCCCTCGGCATCAGTGTGATTCCACATCACAATGGCCCTCGGCCTCACGGTGACTCTACATCACAACGCCCCTCGGCCTCAGCGTGATTCCACATCACAACGGCCCTCGGCCTCAACGTGACTCTACATCACAACGGCCCTCGGCTACACTTTACTTCGTCATCTTTATTTGATGACAGGGATCTCATTCACAGGTGCTTCGGCCTTAACGTGATTCTGCGTCACAAATGGCCCCCGGCCTTAACATGATTTCACATCACGAACGGCCCTCGGCCATTCTATTACACCGTCATCTTTATGTAATGACAGGAACCCCTATCGGCCCATCAGCCTCATATCCTGGCCATCTTTGTTTAATGTATCAGACTCCATATAGGCCCTCGGCCTTGCATCCCTCCGGCATCTTCATTTGATGTCGGGGGCTATCGTACAGGCCCCTCGGCCTTACATCCCTCCGACATCTTTATTTGATGCTGGGGGGCTATCATACAGGCCCCTCGCCTTACATCCCTCCGGCATCTTTATTTGATGCCGGGGGCTATCGTATAGGCCCCTCGGCCTTACATCCCTCCGACATCTTTATTTGATGCCAGGGGCTATCGTCGGGCCCTCGGCGCTGGGACCCCTCCGCCATCTTTATTTGATTACGGGGGTTCTTACAGGCTCCTCACCCTTTCATACAGAATCTAAGGCACATCTTGGCTATCACTTCAGCAGACGGACACCGCTAACACCCCACAATCAAGGCCGGAGGGTTCATTCTCTTTGCTTCATTCTGGGGGCATCCAGTGTACTCTTTTTCCCTCATTAGGATTTTTTCCCACAGGGTTTTTCCTAATGAGTTTTTTAACGAGGCATCCCCCCATAATGAAGCAAAACGTGTCAGCCCTCGGCTCTCTGTTGAAGACAATCATTACTCTACTCCTTTTCACCCCATTACATGTGGCTAGAGGAGTGAGGGACTGGGGAACCCCTTCGGGAAATTCACAAAAAGTTAAAAGCTGTATCAAAGCATCAACAAAAGCCTTCAGTCCCAAAATGTGGAGGACTGGGGGACTGCCCTCGGCAAAACACACAAACGCAGATCTCTCACTACTTTACAGACTACAACAAAGCAGCCATCAGCGACTACACAACATTTACTCCTATTTCCTTCGAGAAACTCTCAGCAAAAGGAGCGGAGGACTCTTGATGGAGTATATGGCCCAGCAACCTCGGCCCACATACTTTCACTACAACAATCAGGCCCGATAGGCCCAAATGGGCCAATCCCAGCAAACAAGACTCTCGGCAGCCCATATTACACTAGGTGTGCCTTCAGCCCAATGCCCGAAGCCTTTGCACCAATGAAACCGAGTCGAGAAACATCACAGGAGAACAGGGCTTGGAATACATGCCTTCGGCCTTCAGCACATGGAGGCCCCCGGCACATAGAGCTTTCGGCACATGGAGGCCCTGGCACACAGAGCCTTCGGCACATGGAGGCCCCCGACACACAGAGCCTTTGGCACATATATGGAGGCCCCCGGCACACAGAGCCTTCGGCACATGGAGGCCCCCGACACACAGAGCCTACAACACATGGAGGCCCCCGTCACATAGAGCCTTCGGTCCCAGTAGATACAACCGAAGGCATCCTCCTCGACAGGATCTCCTCTCCACATGCGCTGAATCTCCGCGCCAAGTACAATGTCGCGTCCAACCACCGCATTTAATGTGGTGCACATGCAAATGCCGGTGCCACCCCGATTGAGGTGACCCTCGGCCGTCAGATGCTTGACACGCGTCCTCTCGTATATATTATTGATCTAGCATTTATGGCTCCTATAAATAACAGTCCATTTTCCCATTGTAAGGACATCTTCTATATCGAATACACTCTCTCTCTCTTACTTATTGCTCTGACTTCTCTTTAGGTTATTCACCGTAATAACCCCTCGGATAAGCTACCCCCGGGTACACTATCCATCAGGTTAGAACTTAGTAATGATTAGCGAGGCTCAATTAAATTAATTTCATGTGATTGGGCTTGATCAGCCAGAAATTTGAATACCCCGGAATCAATCTCTGTTCCCTATCGTCATTGATTAGAAAGAACCCATTAGTTTAATTTCTTTATTCGCAATTTAATTTTCCCAATTAATCAAATCTCACACATCGCATTTATTTTTATTTAGTTTTATCGCTGAAGTTAATTAATTCTTAATTCCCTTTTATCCATTCCTGTGGAGACGATACTCGTACTTGCACCTACACTGCTACATATTTTAAGTGCGAGAAAACTCACATCACGTGCCTCAGGAGATCATATCAGACAACGACACTCAATTTGAAGCCGCACCATTTCAAGAGCTCCTCCAGGCATGAGGCATTAAGCATCGATTCTCCTCCGTTGCCTACCCTCAAGGCAACGGGCAAGTTGAGAACGCAAATAGAACCATCCTGGAAGGACTAAAGAAGAAGATGGAAGACAGAGGAGACAACTGGGTGGATGAACTTCACAACATCCTTTGGTCCTATCGAACCACGCTGAGTTGAGCTACCGGCGAGACACCATTCTCCCTTTGCTACGGCTTCAGTGTAACTTCAGGGAGCTAATAGGCTGCAAGTGACAGTAGCTTCAGTGTAACTTAATCTAATGTTTGTGCCTCCATAGTTCATATATTAGTGCGGA